TGTGATCAATTAGTAATGCCTGCCACAGGCATACAGTCAGGAACAATGGCACGTATGCCACATATCTGACACACTGGGATTAGACTGGAAGCCCCCTGGAAAGAAAATAGAGTGTCCTTATTCTTCTTTGTGTCACCCTAGCAGCGGGCATGGGCTAGGTGCTTGGTTATGACTGAGGCTGACTGATTGGCCAACTGAAAATTGCTCAGCTTTGAGGCCCAGGCTCCTGAAGAGACAGGAGAAAACATCTAAGCCAATGGTTTTCAATTTTTAAAAAAACCCTCAGTGTTCTTTCTTCAAAGGACATTTTACATGAAGCTCAAGATATTAGCAGATGAAAGCAAAGCTACTCTGGCTGAAGCTGGGTTTGGGGCCCAGAGCCCCGCCTGCCTGCACCACCCCTGCCCAACCAAAGCCATCTTTGGATACCTTCAAGGAACCCGATGGCTTCCCAGAGCCCAGTCTGAGGATGACAGGTGAGGAAACCAAGATCCAGAGAGGGGAAATGACTAACCCAAGGTCACACTGCAACTAGAACTGAAAATAGGGCACCTTCTCCAGACTCCCAGTTTAGTGCTCTTTCTGCCACATCTCCAGGTTCTCATCCAGGGCAGGTGGCCTCAGCTCTGGGCTGGGCTTTGAGGCCGAGAAAGGACATCTCCCACCTCCTTGGGGCCAGGTAATCACCTGGCCAGCCATCTCTCCCCAGACCCTGAGACAGAGAGCACCTGCCCCTCCCAGCACAGCCCCAGCCAGGGTGGTGGGCACCTGCTTTGTTGATCTTGCTCCCGGAGCCCCGGGGTGTGTTGGAAAATAGCTCTCTCTCCCCGACAGTGCTTTATTAATTAAAGCATTTCCCCTCCTTGGTAGCAGCTGCTTCGAAAGAGATCAGTGAATGTTTAATTCATTGGTTCCGAGCTGCTCCCCCAAACTCCCCCCAACACCTCCTTCCTTCAAAGTGCTTTCCTGGGAAACCCTCCCGGCACGAGGGCTGTTTCCCTGCTTCTCCGCAGAGCTGCCAAGCTGCCTCTCCCGCCACGGTCCACCTCGGCTAGCTGAAAACGATTTGTTATTCAGCTCAAGAAATCTATAAGGAACGAGCAAGGCTGGGTGCAAGCCCAAGTTCCCTTCCTTGAGATAGTTTAAAAGGCTGTGATTTGTCGAATTACTACATGAGTATTTAATGATCATGTTCCTTGGCCGCTTAGTGGCAAAAAATGAGGCCATTGATTACCAACGATGCAGATTAAAGGATGTGGCTCCCAAGGTGTGTGTGGGGGGGGTGGGGGGTGCTGCTGGCATGAGGGCATCTCTGGGAGGGAACCTCCATCCTCTCACAGCTGTGGTCGGCACAATGGAAGGGCCCCGTTGCCCTGGGCCAGGCTGTGGGCTCATCTCCAGCAGGGTCACATGGGGCCAGTGAAGGGGTGATCACTTTCTGTGGGAGCTTGTAGGCCACACTGGGTTTCTCTGCACACCTGTACACACGCTGGGCTTCCCATTCCCACCTCAACTTCCTGAACTCTTGAAAGATCCAGTTTGAGTTTGGTGGCTGGGTCTACAGGAACCCTCTAAAGACTGGGATATGTGAGCCCATTTTCTCCTGCCTATCTGGGCTCAGCTGTGTAAGGCTTGGGATGAGGAGAGACCCAGTGCACAGGAGCCACATTCAGGCCTTCCCCCATTTTTACCCTCCTTAGACCCCACCAATTCATGGTGCTCCCTTGAACTATGTCTTCCACGGGTATGTCCCAGAATTATATCCAATTCCTCTTTCTCTCCTGGCCGTTGCAGAATGTGTACAGATGTGATACCATAATGTCAACTAACTTTATAACCAGAAGCAAATCTCATGCAAATCTAACCCTAACAACTCTAACCCTAGGCCTAACAACCCTAACGTGAACAACCCTAATCCTAACCCTAACAACCCTAACCCTAACAACCCTAACCCTAACCCTAACTACCCTAACCCGAACAACCCTAACCCTAACCCTAACAACCCTAACCCTAACAACCCTAACACTAACCCTAACAATCCTAACCCTAACAACCCTGACCCTAAGCCTAACACCCCAAACCCTAACAACCCTAACCCTAACAACCCTAAACCTAATCCTAACAACCCTAACACTAACAACTCTAACACTAACAACCTTAACCCTAACCCCCCTAACCCTAACAACCCTAACCCGAACAACCCTAATCCTAACCCTAACAACCCTAACCCGAACAACCCTAATCCTAACCCTAACAACCCTAACCCGAACAACCCTAATCCTAACCCTAACAACCCTAACCCTAACAACCCTAACCCTAACCCTAACAATCCTAACCCTAACAACCCTGACCCTAGGCCTAACAACCCTAACCCTAACAACCCTAATCCTAACCCTAACAACCCTAACCCTAACAACCCTAATCCTAACCCTAACAATCCTAACCCTAACAACCCTGACCCTAAGCCTAACACCCCAAACCCTAACAACCCTAACCCTAGGCCTAACAACCCTAACCCGAACAACCCTAATCCTAACCCTAACAACCCTAATCCTAACCCTAACAACCCTAATCCTAACCCTAACAACCCTAACCCTAACAACCCTAACCCTAACAACCCTAACCCTAACCCTAACAACCCTAACCCTAACAACCCTGACCCTAAGCCTAACACCCCAAACCCTAACAACCCTAACCCTAACAACCCTAAACCTAATCCTAACAACCCTAACACTAACAACTCTAACACGAACAACCTTAACCCTAACCCCCCTAACCCTAACAACCCTAACCCGAACAACCCTAATCCTAACCCTAACAACCCTAACCCTAGGCCTAACAACCCTAACCCAAACAACCCTAATCCTAACAACCCTAACCCTAACCCTAACAATCCTAACCCTAACAACCCTGACCCTAAGCCTAACACCCCAAACCCTAACAACCCTAACCCTAACAACCCTAAACCTAATCCTAACAACCCTAACACTAACAACTCTAACACTAACAACCTTAACCCTAACCCCCCTAACCCTAACAACCCTAACCCGAACAACCCTAATCCTAACCCTAACAACCCTAACCCTAAGTTTAGGGTTACCAGGGGCAGACCACCTGGGGTATACCTCGCCATGGATGGGGAAAAAACAGGGGCCTCAACCCTGGGGTTGGGACCCACTGAATCAGTTGGGGGAGCTCCATGGTCCCACCCAATGGACTCCTCAGTCAGTACATTCCGTCTACCCACTGGCCTGGTCATCTCACCGAGCAGAAAAGCCAGTGGGTGGCCCTGCCATACCCCAAACCTTGGAAGATATTCATGAGAATCTTAGAAAAGGTAATAAGAGGAACCAGTATCCACTGGGTACTCAGCATATGCTGTGCAAAGGAGGTGAGAGTCATTAGCTCACTGAGTCCGCTCCCAACCCTGGGAGGCGGGTGCCACTTGGTGGCTGAGTGAACTCAGGCAGGTTGAGACTTCGTAACTGCTTAGCCACTCAGGATAAGGAGGCAAGCCTGGGTTGGCATCCACATCTGTGTGACGCCATGCAGGGCTGCTAACAGGGATTGCTTCATCAGACCTGACAGGGCAGCTTCACACCAACACCAGCCACACAGGGTGGGATGCAAGCTTGTCATTCTGGGTGGCATCAGGCTGGGTAAGGGCACAGTTCCGGGATCAGGCAGATTGGGTTCAGATCCTGGGCCTGACGCCTAACAACAGCCGTGTGGCCCTGTGCAAGTTACTAAAACGCTTTCTGCCTCAGTTTCCTCCACTGTCAAATAAAGATACTGCCAGGGTTCACCGCCTAAGGTTACTGTGAAGATTCCTTTATTCAGGCAATACGTATTCAGCAAGTGCCCAATATGTTCTAGAAGGATCCCTGCCTTGGCCTGGTGGTGGGAGGTGGACAACTTGCACATTAAGTAAGTTGACGATGAGATGGGTTAAAAGGGAGAACGGAAGAGGGCAGAACTAGGATTCCAAACGCTGGAGGCAGGGCAGGGTCGTGTGTGTGTGTGTGTGTGTGTGCGCGTGTGCCTGCCCTGTTCACTGGGGATGGAGCACCATGTCCCAGAATCAAAGCAGGCAGGTGGATTAGGTCAGGCCACAGGGAGAAGGAGAGAGCCAGCTCAGTGGGTCAAGGAGACATCTGTAGAAAGAGTGGCCCAGCCAGAGGGAACAGCCAGTGCAAAGCCTGAAGGAGCACGCCCCGGGTGTTTGAGGTCAGCGTGGCTGGAGCAGAGAGTGTGAGAGCATACCAGGAAATAAGCAAACCAGGGAACCTCAGGAGTCTTCGTAAGGACCTTGGCTTTACTCTGGGTGGAACTGAGGCGACGAGCCAGCCTAGGTGAAGTGCTGTGCGCAGTGCCTGGCACAGGGAGGGCCGGTAAATAGTAGTTATTCTTTGTTAATCCTTTTCAGTAATTCTGTTTTGTGTAAAGGGATCGGGTGGGATGCCAGTGCAGCCCTGCAGAGAAGTTCCCCTCTTGCTCCTGGAAGCAAATCGACCAATTAGAGGCTTGTCCCATTGTGTGGGAGTTTATTTTCCTGTTCTTGGAATATGTCTGGCTTCCCACTGGCAACAAGTGGATTTAATAAAGTGAGGGCTCTCCGCACTGGGCAGGAGAGGCAGGTGAGCAAGGAGGAGGGAAGGGGGAAGGACAGGAGAAGAAGAAGGGAGGAGAGGAGAAAGAGGGAAGAAAGAGGCAGAGGAAGAGAAAGAGGAAGAGAGGAGACAGGAGGAGGGGGAAGGAGGAAGATGAGGGAGGAGGAGAGGGAAGGAGGAGTGGGGAAGGGAAAAGGAGAAGGGTCATAGCAGAGCTGGGATGTCATGCAGCCCCCTCAGCTTGGGGATCCCCACGTGGCTCCCTCCCTGTGGGGCTCTGCATGAGTTTCAAAGAGGTGGTTATTTTGGGTGGCAGCGTGATTGGGAGCTTGGAAGGCAGGAAATTGAGTGGTGATTAAGGTTGTAATAAGTTGACAACATCAAATATCATTACTCTTAGAACATGCAAATGATCACGTCTTTACCCGGGATTTGCCATGCAAATACCAATTAGCTGGGAACATATTTGCCTTGATATGGGGAGGCTGGTTCTCCTTCCAATGCCCCCCTACTGTCCCCACAAGAGGGTAAACAAACAGGAGGGGCATCATGGCAGCATGTAGGAAGGGGGCCGCAGTGAATGTCACCAGCAGAGGAGAATGGAGAGCCAGGGGCCCCAGCTAGCCAGGGTCGGGTGACTACTGGCCTTGTGGAAGGCTGCCAGAAACCCCGGCCTAGAAGTCCCCTGTCCCAGGCTCTGCCTTCCACGCTGGACTCTGGGTCTGATAGGAGCCCCTGGAGCTTCTTGTCTCTGTCCCAGGCCATGTCCCTGCTGTGTGCCAACTTGTGTGGCTTTTGTAGCCGAGCTCACTTTCTGCAGCTTGGAGGCGTGTAGCTGATGATGCTCCATGGAGGAGGAATCTGGAATGAGACACGTGGCAGTTCTGAGGCCATGGCCCAAGGGTCCCCACACTACTGTGTCTTGGGGACCCTCTGAAGGGTCCTGGGCAAATGGCAGGGAGGCCGTGGACAGGAGCCCCGACGTTTCCTTCTCCTGGCCAGAGATTTGCCATTACTCCTGCTCCCCACATACCTGGCACAAAGAAGCACCATTGCCCATACGGTGATGGATGTGGCGTGCTGCCTGCCCTCAGGAGCTTCCAGTCTCATTTGTTAAGCAGAAGTAACAGTGGCTGGACACAGCAGATGATAGGTGCGAGCTGAGTGGTACCAACAGGAATGGCCTAGGCTGTTGCAGGGCTGAACTTGCTTTTTGCACTGGTTGCATAATGTGGTACAAGAGTTTGGCTGAGACCTGAGAGGGGAGTGAGAAAAAGGGAGAAGTGGAGGGAGGGAACTCTCAGTGGGAAGAATGGCAAAGGCAAGATTTGGAGGTTAGGAAATTTGTGCCGTGCTCTAGGGCCACTGAGTCCCACATCCATTCATCCTGTCCAACCACCCAACTATCCAGCCCTAATTTACCCAAACCAACACACCAACCACTTTACCCAGCCACCTTCCCACATACCATCCAACCCACCCATCCAAGCCACCAGCCTAACCCAACCCCACATCTATCATCAACCCACCAGCTCACCTCACCAGCATGAGCCAGCTCTTCCACCCACCACCCATCCCACCAGCCCCGGGGAAGAGCTTGAACTCCAGGGTGGATGATTGGGGTTCAATTCTTGACTCTGTCACTTTCTGCTGTGGAGTCTTGGGCAACTTTCTTGACGTTTCTGTGTCTCAGAGTTGTTGTATTTGAAATGAGGGTGATGATCATATGTGTTATTGTAAGGAGCTGATGGCATCTTGGGCCAATGCACAGCATCCCAGGCACGGCATCTGGGAGCTAGTGAGTACTCACTCTACAGTCGCACTTGCTGTGTAGCTTGATGTGATTTATTTCAAAGCCAGTGGGGCCCATTAGGAAGGGGAGAACTGGGGCTGAAGCTGAGCTGGAGAAAGTTAAGCCATAGAGAACTTTAAAAAAGGTTAAGCAGAAGGATCAGATCCCTGGGCTGGGGGCCCACCAGGCCATTTGTCTGGGCCCAAATCTGGTAGGGGGGAGATGGATACCTGGAGGCTCTTCCATCATCCCCCCACTCCAGGCGGACCTCCTTGGGAAGCTGGGGACCCGGAGTTTGTCAGCCAGGAACTCGTTCTCATATCTAAACCTCTCCGTGTGTCTAAACATTTTGCTGATGGGCCCAGCCCCAGCCAGCCAGCCTGGGCAGGGCAGCGGGGAGCAGGCCCGCTCATCTGTAGATCTTTCGTCCCTCTCCAAGACCCCAGCTGGCCCAACCCTCTTCCACCCTGTATCCCACCAGCCTCCTGCAGACGGAAAGGAAGGTTTCCTGCAGCCCATATCCAGCCAGAAACCTCCAGTGGCTCCCATCTAGCTGCCTCAAGAAATGCTTTTGATCATCTAAATCCAGGTTGTATTAATTCACCAAATCCCTTAAATTCCCCGAGATTTTCTCTGATGTCTAAAGGAGGTCCCTTCCCCGGCTCCTCGGAGTCTTCCTCTGAGGCTTCCCAGCAGCCTCCTGGTTCTGCGGCCACTCAGGCCGAGGAAGGTGGGTGACTGGAGAGAAGCTTCCCTGGGGCAGGAACCAAGCAGCCGTGGCTGCCCGGTTTGGGGGTCGCAGTGCTCACCCCACAGCTCCTGGGCGGGTGGGGGCTGACCCTGTGGGTTATTAGCCCTGGACTGCCTGGCTGGCAGAGCTATTACAAGGCACAGTGCAATTTCATGCCCTGTTTCCTCCTTCCTTGGTCTGCAGTTTCTGCTCTATTTGTCCAAAATGAACAGAGATGAAGTGGAATGAATTACGGTCTCTCCTTCTCCTCTCTCTGCTGTCTTCCTTCCCTTCCTCTCTCTGCCTCCTTGGTTCTCCCAGCCAGCCCCTCGGCTCCCCCTCCATCTCCTCTGCTCAATCTTCTTTTCCTCATGCTCCCTCCCTCTTGTCTCAGTTAAAATCCGTGACTCTGCCCAGCACTTGTTTCCCACTCACTCAGGGAACCAGTCAGCGAACATTCACTGAGCCACACATCAGGGGCTTCCTGGGCCCACATCAGGCCATGACGGTGCCGATGTCTCTAGGAGCCCCCACATGCCCCACTGACTCCCCTGGAAGAGGGGTGACACTCTCTCTAGCTCTGAGTGCCACACCCTATGTCAGCTCTGATAGTCATGGCTGGACAGCTGGCCCTAGGGTACCTATGCCAGGGTCACTGCCAGCCAAAGCCTGGCCTCCAGTGCTAATCCCCAGTCAGGGGCTAGCTCTGACCCCCAACCACAGCCTCTCAAGCCCTTGGAGTAGATTCATCCGGGGCTTTGGCCGAGCCCAGCCCGCCCTCTCTGCGAACTGTGCCGTTACCTGACTGCTAAGTCCCTCAGGAGAGTGTGCTTTGCCCGGCCTCAGAGGTGAGCCAGACCAGAAGTGTATGCACCAGTCCAGGCAGGCCCCACGGCCTCCTTACAGAGGTGGGCAGTCACGCCCCAGGAGGTTCCGCTCCATCTCTGAAGGGCAGACAGTTGAACTGGGGTGCGGTGCAAAGCTGAGGCTTCAGTAGCTGCATCTGACGCTCAGCTTGGGACAAAGTGCAGGCTAGTGGGTGGAGAGAAGGCACAAAACTAAGTGGGCAAGGGGTTAGAGGAGAGGGATGCTCTGTGAGCTGAGGGGCAGGAGAGCATGAGACAGAGAGGGAGGGAGACAGAGCGTCAGAGAGACAGAGACAGTCAGAGACAGAGAGACAAAGAGAGAGACACAGACAGAGAGACAGAGAGACAGAGACAGAGAGACAGAGACAGAGAGACAGAGTCAGAGAGAGACAGAGAGACAGAGACAGAGCGTCAGAGAGACAGAGACAGTCAGAGACAGAGAGACAGAGAGACAGAGAGAGAGACAGAGACAGAGAGACAGAGAGTCAGAGACAGAGAGACAGAGAGACAGAGAGTCAGAGAGACAGAGAGTCAGAGACAGAGACAGACAGACAGAGAGTCGGAGAGACAGAGAGACAGAGACAGAGAGTCAAAGACAGAGACAGACAGTCAGAGAGACAGAGAGACAGAGACAGAGAGTCAGAGAGACAGAGTCAGAGAGAGACAGAGAGACAGAGACAGAGAGTCAGAGAGACAGAGTCAGAGACAGAGACAGAGAGAGAGTCGGAGAGACAGAGACAGAGAGTCAGAGAGACAGAGACAGAGAGAGACATAGAGACTGACAGAAGGAGCATGAGGGCCCAGTGACGGGGACTGGGAGAGACAGGCTGACAACACAGAGAGATTCACATAAGAGGCAGAACTACAGAACTGGGGGTAGGAGGTTGGGGGGTTCATCTTACTGTTCTGCCATTCAGCCCCCACCCCCTACCTCCACTCCTGCCCTTGGTCCCATGAGGCACCTCTAAAACTGTCTAATAAATTCCCCTTTTGCACAGGTGGGCACAGGTGTGTTTCTGTCTCTGGCAACCACAGGTATCTTGCTGTGAACCTGATTCCTTTGAGCCTGTATGGGGCACGCAGCACAGCCCCTGCTCCTGGGACCCCTCCTGTCCTCTTGTCCCAAGCTCCTCTCTCCACCACCTCTCACACTCCCTCTGTCACCCCCGCCCCAGTTCAGCCTCTCCTCCCCTACCCCGGCGTTTCTTGGGTTCACACGACGCCTTTATTCTTCTGACTTGAGCTCGGCAGATCCTGTCCGGCATGTGCTGAGGACCTGCACCGTGCCGAATGCTGGGCCTGGGGCTTAATCCATTCCTTCCAGCACCTCCGTGATGCTGGCACCATTTCTGTCACTTACAGATTAGGAAATCAGGCTCAGAAAGGTTAATTTGCCTCAGCTCATACAGCTGGCAAAAGGAGAAGCAGGGATTTGCTTCCTGTTCTCACGCTAACTCCAGAGCTCTTCTCTGCTGCACTCAAACCCCTTCCATAGATGGTACATTGTGTTGGACGCCCCCCAGAGCCCCTTTCTTAGGAGAGTGTTGGGTGACCCTCCATCTGAGTGGCCTCAGCCCTGAGTGAAATGGTCAAGCAGATGCATTTGTCCAGATGAGCAGTTTAGGCGGCCACAGGACCTTTCCAGGGTCACCCAACAGCTGCCCCTATCCAAGGGCCATGGCTCTCACTTCATGGAGGTAGGAAGGCTTTGGAATGATGGCGGTGGTGGTGGCAAGTTAGGGGCAGAATAACCCTTGAAAATGCCCAGCGAGACTCAAGACTCCTCACCCCACCCCTATCTCCAGGTGGCCTCTGGTGGCGAGGCTCCATTTCTGGAGCCTTTTTGGTGTTGGCCAAGATCCATGCCAAGGAGGTTAGTAATGGGCAGGACAGGGGAATGTAGGTGTCACTCCTTCCCCAGGCACACCCCTCCTCCTAGATCAAGAGCTAGTGTTCTTCTGGGGCTCCTGGGTCCTAGTTCTTAGCTCTGCAGTTCCAACCTTCTTTATTTCTAATCTTTCCAAATTCCGAACCAGGAGCTGCACCCTCCACTGCCTTTGGGGCCCAGACAGCTGCCGCAAATGGGCAAAGTGGGCTGGGTTGGTACAATAGGGAGTGGTGAGGACTGTGGTAAGCTGGAGGTGGATGCCTTCTCTAGGGGATAGCCGTCACTCAGCCGAGCCCACTGATACCCTGTGGGATTGTGGCCAGGCATGGCCACAGGTCCCTGTTGTTCAACAGAAATTATAAGTCTAGGTTTATTATACACATTTATTTTTTTGTTGTTTTTTAAATGTGTTGCAGGCCAACTTTTTTTTTTTTGGCGAAGTTTTGCTCTTGTCGCCCAGGCTGGAGTGCAGTGGTGTGATCTTGGCTCACTGCAACCTCTGCCTCCCAGGTTCAAGCGATTCTCCTGCCTCAGCTTCCTGAATAGCTGGGATTACAGGTGCCCACCACCACATCTGGCTAATTTTTGTATTTTTAGTAGAGATGGGGTTTCACCATGTTGGCCAGGCTGGTCTCGAACTCCTGGCCTCAAGTGATCCGCCCACCTCAGCCTCTCAAAGTGCTGGAATTACAGACATGAGCCACTACGCCCAGTCAGGCCAACATTTTAAAACAGGTATGTGGGCCAGATTGGGTCCACAGGCTGCCTATTTGTAATCATTGTTCTAAATGCCCCGCGTTCTAAGTGCTCTGGAACTCTCCGGAATGCTAAACTTTCCCCGCTGTGCATCACCATCGAGGATGGATGGATCCCATTTGCGGGGCTGAAACTGTTTCCAAACCACTGCCTTCGACAGAAGGGGTAGTAATTACACTCTGACATTAATATTTAAACCACAAACAGGGTTAGCGTGCTAATACTGTCCCCAAAGGCTTCGGACTCGGTTAGCTTTTATGCTTGTGAGACCTAATTATTGTCAGCAATGAATCCTGTAAGACTGCAGGATTAGGGCCAGGGGAGGAGGAGGAGGACAGATCCCTGGGGCCAGAGGCATATGGGGCCTCGACACAGGGTGGCCTGAGGGCTGGGGTCCACGCCCCCTGGTCACGTGGGCCATCTGAGAGGCCAGTGAGACAGCCAATGGTTTGTTGTGCCTCCCAACCTTCCCCAGAATTAGGGATTTTGCTCCTAAGGCATGCCCCATGAGGACTGGGGCATCCATGCCTCATTGGTGGGAAGTTCACAACAGTCTCTGGTCTGTGATTCTTTGACCCAGCCTCACGAGAGATCTTCCCAATTCAGGAGAGATCTCAAGAGGGAAATTGGCATTCTGTGCTTCTGTGCTTGTCCTGGAAAAGAAAAAGGGGTCATGTCGGGGTTGTGGGGTGGAGCAAAAAGGGCTGGCGTGTGGTGTGCAGAGGAGACTCAAGCGGGCTTCTCAGAGACAAGTTCCAGAAGCTTCCCCAGCTTCTGCTGGATTGGTGGATTACGTTGGACTGACAAGGCTTCTGCCTGTGATTGTGGCCGGCCCCACAGCGGATGCTCACAGCTGTGTGGCTGTGATAAGCAAGGAGACCCACGAGAAACCATCCAGAAACTTCCATCCCCATCTGCAATTGGATTTGGCCTTGAGGAAGTGGTCTGGGTGGGGAGGAAGG